CCAGCACCATTTGTTAAAGATGCTATCCTTCCTCCATTGCATGCTTTTAGCCCCTTTATCAAATATAAGATAGTTGTAGTTTTGTGGATTGGTTACTGTGTCCTCTATTCTGTACCATTGGATTCTTAATATGCCCTATTATTTCTACTCTTCAGCTCACCATGCCTGCTGGCTTCTCCCTGGAATATCCACAAGGCCTGTACACTCCCCTGCCCCAGGGTTGCTTGATTAGGTCATGCTCTTGTGTTAGGTCTTAGCTTAGCCATCACTTCCTCTGGGAATTCCTGTGTGCCCTGGCTACCTAGAGCACCCATATGTTTGCTTATTAGTTATTCTGAAAGCTCAGTGAGGCAGACCCCCTGCTTGTCTCCTTCACAGTGGTATATCCTCTATCTAGCATAGCTCCTGCAGCAGAGGGCACCTACTCAGCATAATTTCTTGACTTAGTGAATGAATGAATGAATGCATGAACATTTCTCTAGGAGACATTAACTATCCCTTTGAACTGGAGTTAATGTTAAGATGTTCTGGCATGAAATCACAAAAACTTGATAAACATTTTAAAACAACCACTACTCCAGGTTATTTTTTAACTGGGTTCTTTTCCAGTGAAGCATGACTCTGAGTTGTTTTTCTGTGCCTGACAAACAATATATGATGAATCACTGTTCAATATCACTGTTTCTAGTTGCCATAGTGACGGGGATTTTCATGTATGGGCTGCCTGAGGCTTCTTGTTCAGAAACACTGAACTGTGTAAATATTGTTTAAAATGAAAAGGTACACAGACATCAATATCTTCTCTTGTTGGGCCTGCAGATGATATATGATTCAATCTTTGAGATTGTTTTTTAACCTGTTTAAGCATTCTTTTTTTTTTTCAGTTTGGATTAATATAACTCTCTGAAAATTAAAGTGATTCTTTGCAAACTTGGAGAAAGAATAAGGTTGCTGATAAAAAATATTTTAAAATGTTAAAAAAATTCACCCAGATAATGAATTTTAGCTTGACAGAAATTCAGAATATAATGGGCAGATTTCAAAATGTATCTAATTATGGGAAAGAGTTATCCTGTAGAGAATCTGTATGCAGGAGAAATTTGAATACACATCTTTTTGGTGTATTAAATGTAGCCTCCCCATTGCCATTATTGATTTGTTAGCATGATAAAGTAGTAGATAGTACCACAATCTGGTTTGTTAGGATTTCTCCTGTCTACCACTTATGAGCTAGTTGACTTTGGACGACCTCTCTGAACCTCAGCATATGCATAGATAAAATGGGTAGATTAATAGTATATTGCTTCATATATCTACTGTGAATATCAAAAGAGGTATCCAGCACATGGAAAGTACTCTGGAAATGTTGGCAATTATGATTCAGTGGATTTTCTTTTCTTGTTCTTAAGTAGCAGTGCAGTATTTTTTAAAAATGAGAGAGGTTTTTTGTTTTGTTTTGTTTTTTTGTTGTTAGTAATCATTGGATCTTCCTCTTAATCATTTAAAAAAAAATCCAAATCTAAGCCCTTTAGAAATTCCTTCCTCTCGCCAGATGTGTGTGATGTATGCAGGATTAGTTGTGCTATAGAAATGTTGTCACTGAGCTTAAAAGCTCCTTACTGTTGCTCATTGCCAGCTCCTTATATGTGCAAGAGTCATTGTTTCAAATCAATACTTTATTAACTTCCTTTTTAAATAAATATTTTGTTTTTAGTTGTAGTTGGACACCATACCTTTATTTTTGTTTATTTGTTTTTATGTGGTGCTGAGAATTGAACCCAGCATCTTGCACATGCTAGGCGAGTGCTCTACCGCTGACCCACAACCCCAGCCCCTATTAATTTCTTTTTGTCCATGAAAAAAGGTTTCAGAATAAACTAAGTACCTATGAAATGATATCTTTGTTACTGATGTACAAACTTCAAAGACATTGGGATATTTAAAAAAGGGGAGAAATTTGTCTGTTGCTAACTGCTATCTTTTAATATCTCAGTGTTTTCCTACAGTGGCATCCTTTTTATTTGCTTTCTCCCTTGTTATAGCTTGGATGTTGAATGTTACCC